AAACAAAACAAAACAAAACAAAACAAAACAAAACAAAACAAAACAAAACAAAACAAAACAAAACAAAACAAAACAAAACAAAACAAAACAAAACAAAACAAAACAAAACAAAACAAAACAAAACAAAACAAAACAAAACAAAACAAAACAAAACAGACAGACAGACAGACAGATTTTACTTTGAAAATTGGAATCTCAAATGCCATCTTGATGCCTTGTTAGAAACACCAGCCAAACAAGGACTGCATTCGGGAAAAGAACCGGGCAACTAAGTGAGATAAAACTTTCAAGCTGTACTAACTTTTCTGGGATCCTCCAAAAAGGTTTGTTTTTCTCTTACACCATTTTAATTTTAAAAAAAAGAAAAATTATTTGTAGTTGCAAAAGTATAAATAGAGTGTAAGTTTCCATGGATATCCTAGGGCTGTGCCAAATATCTGAATATTTGATCAGTTATCGAATATTAGAATATTAATTTCTGAGTTTGAATATTTGAATGCAAAAATCATGAAAAAGAAGGGAGAATTGTCTTGTTTTAAATGAGAACAATTGCACTGTGGAGGCTTGTTTCAAGCAGATCCAAATGAAAAGTTAACGACTCAAAAAGTAAATTATTCAAGAGCCCTAGCAGTTCCAATCCTCGGATTTCAATATGACTTTTACATACACCCTAGGGGACGAAGGTTACAAAATTTAAAAGCAATAGAAATTTTCAATAGGGTAGGAAGTATTGTTCGTCTCTCATGGCTGGAGAAAGAGAAGCTATTATAGTGATTATAATGTGTGTACGTTATAGCAACTGATTTTGTATATGGTTTAATCATCAACAATTGGCCGGTCGGTAATGCCGAATGTTCAGATACTAGATCGAATGAAAGGTCGAATAATCAAATAGTGAATTATTCAAAATGACTCGGCCCTAGGCTTTCCAAGTAAATTTCATTAAAATATTGCTCAATTTCAGAGGAGGCTGATTCAAAAACTGTTTACAATTAATGCTCCCTCGTGTAACCATTAGTACATCAAACTGTGTTTTTCAATTTCTCTTTTTGAGCAGTCTTTTACTAAACAAGTTCATTCAAATTCAAAGGAGTTTCTTCTTTCGTTTACGCTCGTTGGAAGCCCTGGAATGACCCTGGTCAGGATTTCCATGTAATCAACTGACAAATACTTGTCAAACTTTCATTCACATTCGTTTCTAAGGCATATGCCTCCTGAATCGTATTTGCATATGTTGAAGGGAAATCTCCATGGGAAAAAATGACACACGGCATTTGTGAATAAATGCGTTGGGGGAAAAAAGCAAGCTTTGATTTCATGTTGAACGACAACCCTGCTTTTGCCTCTACCAACTTTGTTAATTTCACATTTTATACGGCCAGGTTATTTGTTTCTCTAATAAACACACCGATAAACTAGTAAATAAAGAAAATGAACCGTATTTGCACACACAATCACAAAAAAGTCTTAATTTCTTGTTTGTAATCAATTTGAGACACGAATAACAATATTACACAGAGGAATTGTTCCAATCACGTG